CCTCACTGATGTCTGGCGCCCCAGGAGAACCTTTAAGGTCAGAGGGTGTCTCTGTTCTGTCGTGCTGCTGTAACAAAAGTAACAAAGGGAGTGGTTTTAACAAACAAATTTTTTCTCTCACAGTTTATTTAGGAGGCTAGTCTGAATTCAGAGGAAGGCATTGTCTCTCTGTCGGCTCTGGGGAAGGTCTTGTCTCCCATCAGCCTCTGTAGACCCACATTCCTTGGAGTTCTCCGTGTGTCTCAGCATCAATCTTCCCCCGGATCTAAGAGCTTCACAGCACAGGGACACGGGTCCAAAGGACACAGTCCACTTCCGGCTCTTCTTTCTTGGGGGTGCAGGTCTCTCTTTCCCAGCTCGCTTCTCTCTCCTTATATGTCTCCTAAGATAAAAGGTGTTGCAGGCCACACTCCTGGGAGACTCCACTACATGGGCTCATGGCTGGGCTGGCTTCAAAGGTGTTGCAGCCCACCCTAATCCTCTTACTGGTTTATCATGTCACTGAGGATCAGCACCGAGCCAAGCTGACACAGATTCTTGGGGGGAAGGGGGGTGCATAATTCAGTCCATGACACAGGGCACTCCTGGCCGCTCCCCAGATCTGGTTAGTTACCAAGCCTTTGTCTTTACAGGGCATGCCAGTCAGCGAGGCCAGCCCACCATGGACTTGCTGCTTACCTCCCCGTCCTGGGGCCTGAACTCCGCCAATGACACCGGGGGTCCCGTAGACACAGCAACAAGTGATTCGGGGAGAGAGGAGTTCTGCTACATGCAGATCATCTTTCCCGGCTCGATGGTGGTCTCCCTCGGCGGGATGGTGGGCAATGTTGCCATCTTCTGGCTTCTCTGGCCCCTCACTTCAAGCAACCCTTACGCCATCTACACCCTGAACCTGGTGGCTGCCGACATCCTCAACCTTTTCTGCATCAGTGGGATCCTATTGGAGCAAAGCCTAACACTGTACCGTGGGGTGACACCTCGTGTGGCTGTGCTCCTGAGCCCCGTGTCCTGCTTCTTTGACACTGTGGGACTGTGTCTCCTTGCAGCCACCAGTGTCGAGAATGCTCTGCGTTCTCTCTTCCCCACGTGGCTCCGATGCCAACGGCCCAAGCACACCTCTGCCACCATGTGCGCCCTGACCTGGGTCCTGGCTCTCGGCTGGCATGTGGCAATGGAGGTCTGCAGCAATTTTGAGGGGCACCCGGCGTGTGAGTGTTTTTTCCAAGCCTTCATGGGATTCTACATCTTTGTGTGCCTTGTGATGTGTGTGTCCAGCCTGGCTCTGAGTGTCAGGGGCTGTCGCTGTCCACAGCGCTGCCGGCCCTCCAGGGTGTACTATGTGGTCCGCGTCATGGCCACCACCGCCCTCCTCTGGGGCCTGCCTTTTGTGATCATCCTGTATCTGCCGGAGCTGGAAGACCTGACCCTGAACTTGCACCTTGTGCTAGTGCTGATTCTGTCTGTCCTGGCCAGCGTGATGCACCCCCTCATCTACTTCCTGGTGGGGTACCTGGGCAAGAACAGGCGCAAGGAGCCCCTGAAAAAAGCGCTCCAGCGGGCCCTGCTGAGTGAGATGGAGCTGGTGGAGGGGGAGAGTGGGGTAGACCTGAGGGCCAGGGTGGGTTCCAGCCTCCAGGCTGGAATTCTAGAGCTCTGCTCGTGGTAGGACGCTCAGACTACAGCCTCACAGGGATGAAGACCCAAAGAGGCCACATTGGGAGAATGTGCCAGGACCCCCCATGTGCACTGTCATGAATAGGATGGTGCCTCCTCGATATGTATCAGCTAGCTTGTCTGGGCCACTATCTTTTGTGGTTTGGCAGTTATGTAATGCCGTATTCATACCACAGGATGTGATCTGCTACAATCAGGTTATAAAGGGATTAGGATGGGATGCCTCACCCTTACTCAGGACACAGCCTCAATCCCATGTCAGGAGGTGGTCTGCATCACCTATGTTACAAGAGAAGAAGGGAGAGAGAAGTGAGCAGGGAGAGAGAGACTCAGTACCGTCAAGAAAGGAAAGCCGGGAGGGGAGCGCGTCCTTTGGACCTGGAGTCCTTGTGCTGAGAACCTCCTAGACCCAGGGAAGAAAGACACCAGGACACGTGGAGATCTCTAAGGGACCATGAGCACACAGATGCTGGAAGGGGATAAGGTCCTTCCCTCAGAGCTGACAGAAAGTCTTCCCCTAGATTTGGCGACCTGAATTTGGACTTCTGGACTCCTAAACTGGGAGAAAATAAATTTGTTAATGCCTCCTACTTGTGGAATTTCTGTGGGAACCGGGTCATGCATGGTGTGCTGTGACAATCACTGGTCACCCATCCCCAGTCTGCCTGCACCCCTCCTCCCCCCCGTCCAAGATGAACCCCATCATCTCCTGGTCATCTCACACTATGGGTCTTGTCACTAAGACAGTCTCCACTCTGCTTGACTGCTAATCCCCCTGCACTCTCCTCTGTGAATGTACCAGCCTGGGAAACACTAGGACACACACAAAGTAACACAAACAGAACAAAACAGAGACAAACCTACTACCATTGAGTCGGCCCCAACTCACGGTAGCCCTGGTTGTCTCACAAGAGAACGGCTCCATGGGGTTTCCTTGACTGTAATCTTGGCAAATGCGCATCACCAGGCATCTCTTCTGTGGCACTGCTGAGAGGGTTGGAACTGCCAGCTTCTAGGTTAGGAGTGAGGTGCAAACTGTCTAAGCCTCCCAAGAATCCAGGATGATTACAGAGTTTCCAATTTTCCTAGAAAGGGGGCAGGAAGCAGGACAGATGCTAAATCTGCTGGTCTCTCCTCCACCTCCCATCACCTGGTCCATAGTCCCGGCCCACCACCCTTGCCCACCCCTCTCCTATCCAACGATCCTTATGTTCTACTGAAACTTACAACCCCACTCTCTCCATCCTTCCCAGGAAAACAATTCAGTACCAGCACGGCAATTGTCTTCTCTAGTTTGATCAGCTATTGATAGAACTGGAGGCCTGGTGTGGTGCTGTAGAGTGAGCACTGGACTTGTAACCCAGCAAGGTCATCAGTCCAAACCCGGAAACCCTACACAGGTCACCATGAGTTGAAACCGACTCCATGGCACCTCACAACGACAACAACAATGATAGCACTGGCATTCTGGTTGTTCAGTGGTCAAGCACTCAAGTGCTAACCGAAAGGTTGGTGTTTGGAACCCACCAGCTGCTTCATCGGAGAAAGCTGTGGCTGTCTGCTTCTGGAAAGACTGACCACCTTGTCCGCCTTATGGGGTCTGTTCTAATCTGTCCTGTAGAGGTGCTGTGAGTCACAATCCACTTGATGGCAGTGGGCTTTAAAAACAATAAAAAGATTTTTATTGACAGAACTCACATTGGAAGTCCAGGCCACATGTTCTTCTATAAGTTCCATCTCACTGTCTCTGGTTTTCCGCAAACACATGGCAGCTGACAGCAATGGAGTCCCCGAGAAACACGCTCAGCTGAAAGCAGTCCCCAAACTACACAGCTCGCTGCCTGCCGCTGTGTCCCATTCTGGTTGTTCTCACAATATTCCAGACTTATTCAGTATGCTAACACGCACGTCACAGACGAGACTAGAGTGTCACTATAACTTAAAGACTCTGTCCTATAGTCTCTGTGAGCCACAATTGAGGATGGTTAGTGATAAACTCTCAATACTGATTCACCCATTTTCACAAAGGAACCCTAACAATGTAAGATGTCGATAGTAAGGGAATGGAACAGGGCATGGGGTATCTGGGAACTTTCTGGACTATCACAGTTTTTCTATAAATCTAAAATTATTCTTAAAAAAAAAAATGAAGTCTAATTGCCAAACACCTTGAGGCAATGGGTTGCTGGTCTGGGGTCTCAGGACCATGGCCAACTGGCATAACATAGTCCACAAAGTTGGAGTCCTGGTGTGGCACTGTGGGTTAATGCACTGGATTGCAAAATCAGTTTGAACCACAAGGTTGGCAGTTCAAGCTCACCAGCCACTCCTTGGAAACCCTATATAGGGTCACTATGGGTCAGAACCGACTCAACAGCACTTAACAACAACAACAGTCCACAAGGACATCTTCTTTTAGTGAGTAATGACTGGGATCTTCAAAGCTCACGAGCCGCCATCTAAGGTATAGGTATTGGTCTCTCCATGTGCAGAAAGAGGAGGGATGAAAATTGAAGAGGCTTAGAGTCAGTTAGTCCAATGGACCATGTGAACGTCAGTCTCCACACCTCTGAGACCAGAAGTAGATGAGCCCGCTACCATTCCCACATGCTCTGAGAGGAGTCAGATAGAGTGGGGGACAATGTGGAACAGAACTCAAAATGACCCAAAAAAGAGTGAGCTTACTGGTCTGAAAGAGATAGGAGGAATCCGAGACCAAGGCCCTTGACCACTGTTGAAGTCTGGAATGGAACTGTGGCTCAGTTTTCAACCAAGTGGTGGAGGTATGCTAGTAAGGTATGCTCACCATGGAAGTCTCAATTATTAGTGACCCAAAGGGCAGCATTTACCTGGGGACAAGGTTCCGAGGGGCTGGGAAGGCAGGTGGGCTGGAGGTGAGAACCACAGAGAGGAAAGGGAATAATTGTTGTTCTGTGGAGGAGGTTGTAATCATTGAGAGGAAACAAAGTGTGATTTGTTGAATGTAAAATTGATGATCTGCTCTGTAAAACTTCACTCAGTTCACAATAAAAAGTTTCAAAAAATAAATCTATCAAAAACAAACAAACAAAAAACTATCCAGGATTACAAAGGGGTACTTCCAAAAGTTCATGGGAAAAACATAATGAATGATAATGGAAATTTTCCATGAACATTTAAAAACCCTCTTGTATGCTCTTCTTGCAAAATACTGCAGCCCAAGTCTAGCATAGTCTTCCTCTTTCACAATGAGTGGGGGGCCCATGTCTGTGGGGTACATTCCTCTCCATTACTGCCTCTCAGTCAGCCACAGAAGAAATAGGCCCCTCAGTACCTTAAGATCAGACCTCTCTGCACTCACAGGTCTGGAAGCCAGAAGTCCAAATTCAGGGTGTCTCCAAAGGCTCTGCAGATGTTGCAGCACAACATGCAGGCAACCGTTGGGAGCAGCTGAGCTGAGGGTCCCTGGCTTGGGGGTAGTTTAACTAAAGGATTGCAACTGAATAGTTGAGGCCCAGAAACTCAGGCTGTTTCCAAGTCAAGCCTCACCCCTGAGAAACTTGCAGGGCTGCCTCACGGGACAGGGAACTTGCAAGGTCTTTCCTTGTATTTATGTTTGTCGGCTCAGTCTGCACAACATTCTAGCTGCATTCTTTTGATAAAGTCCCATTTACTGCATGCATCAATAACACCAGATGTTATTCTTTCCCCTGGCCCCAGCACCTCCCCTTGAGCTGTATAAAATAAACTTGCTGCCTTGGTGGGAGCTGCAGTATCTCCATCAGAGTGCTGCATCCCACCTGGTCCCAACTTTTCTGATTTCACATGTGTCTTCCGTCTTCCTTTTATTTCTAATCTCCAGTTGCCTCTACTCAGGTTTAATCTGTCTGTGTGGGTCGTGGAGAATAGCCAATTGCCGGATGTGGCAGTTGGCCCCAGGAGTCAACCCCAACTCACAGGGACCCTCTAGCACTGAGCAGAACTACCCCATAGGGTTTCCTAGGGTAGTGCTGAAGGTAGACTCCCTTGGCAGCCTGAGCTCACAAAGACTGGTATAAAATGAATGAACCAGTGAAGGAATTGGCCACAGAGTCAGACAGAGACCAGGGCATTAGCTTGAACTGGAGAGTGTGACTTCGAAGTCTGACAAAGGGAATTCCTAAAATGTCCCTCTGAGCTGAACACACTCGGGACAAATCCACAATTCTTGCCCTCTCTGGAGACATGCTGTGAGGGACACCATTTGCTCATGACAAGAAAATGCCTTCCCCAGGTCCAGGTGGTCTACTCAATTAACAGAATAGACCGCCTGTCCTGGACAGACAGAACAGATTCCACGCTTTAGACCACAGCCTTCAGTTTGAGTTGTATCTCAATGTAAAGAAAACAAAAATCCTCACCACTGGACCAATAAATTACATCAAGATAAATCGAGGTTGTCAAAGGTATCATTGTGCTCAGATCCACCATCAACACTCATGGAAGCAGCAGTCAAGGAACCAAACGACATATTACATTGGGCAAATCTGCTGCACAAGACCTCTTTAAAAGTGTTGAAGAGCAAAGATATCAGCTTGAGGATTAAGGTATACCTGACCCAAGCCATGGTATTTGCAGTAACCTCATATGCATGCGACAGTTGGACAGTGAATAAGGAAGACCATAGAAGAATTGATGTTTTTGAGTTATGGTGTTGGAGGAGAATACTAAAAGTACCATGGACTGCCAGAAGAACAAACTAATCATATGGCTGTACTTGGAAGAAGTGCAGCCAGAGCGCTCCCTGGAGGCCAGGATGGCCAAACTTCGTCTCTCATACTTTGGACATATTGTCAGGAGGGACCAGTCGCTGGAGAAGGACAACATGTTTGGTAAGGTGGAGGGTCAGAGAAAAAGAGGAAGACCCCCAGCGAGATGGGTTGGCAAAGTGGCAGAAGCGATGGACTCAAGCGTAGCGACAGTTGTGAGGTTGGCACAGGACCAGGCAGTGTTTTGTTCTGTTGTTCCTAGGGTTGCTATGAGTTGATACTGATTTGATGGCACCTAACAACACGCTTTAGATGCACTAAAATGTATCTGTGTCCAGAATCAGCACTCGGGGGTGTTCACAGTCATTCACAGACAAGCACAGAGCAGTGAAAAGCTTGAGTTGGTCAGCAGGCGCGTTCCCATCTGATGTGGTCTTCACCACGTCTGCCTGCCTGTCCCAGCTCGAAGGAGATCAGCGTGCTAAGTTTTCCAGGTTTGTACTTCTCGTTGATGATTTCACTGTTTGAAATAGCTTCATGTCTAGAGCAGAAGCAGTATCTGGTGTTCCTAACAACAAAAAGGCGGCGCTGTGCTGTATGGAGAAAATATGTGTGCTGCAGAAACTTCATTCAGCTGTGAGGTACCATGCTGTTGTTAGAGCCCTCGTGTAGTCCTAACTCCCACAAACAAAACACTGCCCTGTCCTGCACCATCCTCACAATTGTCCTATGTTTGAGCCCAGTGTTGCAGCCATCCATGCGGGACTTCCTCTTTTTCTCTGACGTCTTGCTTTACCAAACATGATGTTATTTTCCAGGGTCTGGTCCCTCCTGATGACATGTCCATCATACACAGATGAAGTCTCTCCCTCCTCACTTTTAAGGAG